CTCTGAATGTCAACGTGAAGAAATTCAAGCAAGCGCGGGTAAACGGCGGGAGTAACTATGACTCTCCGAGGTGGATCCTTGGCGCCGTGGTGCGCGCGTTAAACGATAATACCGATCGCTGAGGTCCTGATAGCCTCTTAACGGGGCGCAGCGGGGTCGCCTGCTCGCGTCCCGGCCCTAACGGGAGGAGATAGTGTGTGCTCCTCTCTCAACGGAGCAAAGTGTGGTGGTTGGGAAACCGCCAGCCATTTTTCAGCCACTTCAATACACGATCTCTGTTGAGTTAGTAAATGGGGTTTGTGTGCCTGGGTGACCCTTTCCAGACACGCAGACTCAACTCCTACCCGAGGCCTGCACGTGGCACCGCCGCTTATAACTGACACGGGAGGGGGGGACGTGCCTAAATTAGTATGCCCCGGAGATGGCTGTTGCGGGGTGACCGCCTCGTTGGCACATTCCTAATTCTGCGAGGCCCAGCGCGTTTCCACTATAGTCTCCCGTTCGGCTGTCTCTTCGCGGCTTTCAGTCGTGTTGATGGCAGTCGGACGGGAGACTTTAGTCAGGCTTGTGAACCGGGTTTGCTAGATTCGTCTAGTATGCGCAGCGTCCTAGATCATGGGGCGTAATCCGGGCTAGGTTCGGGTGAGATTCCTGAATAGTCCCATCGGGTGGCAATATGTCGCCAAGTCGAACCGCTGACTTCGGTCGGGACAATACGAGATGCGGTAGGCGAACCAGGTGGCTGGGCTTGCACCCCGGCCACATTGGGCACAAACACAAGCAATGGACAAAGTAAGGAATGAAAATGATTTATTTTGCCACCCTGGCCTCCCACAGGAGCCGGGGAGCTTGGCCCAATCTTCGGCCGCTCAAGCTGGGGCTCCGGCCACAGTTTCCGCGGTCATTGACTGGACTTGTCCGGTGTGTGGACGTGCGTTCACCACCAAAACGGGGTTGGGGGTCCACAAGCGTAGGGCCCACCCCGAAGTAGCAAATGCGGAGGCCGCTCCAAATATGGTGAAGCGCAGGTGGCGCGATGAGGAGCTGGCATTGATGGCGCGTACAGAGGCGCGATTACTGGAGGAGACCGGACGATGTACGAACGCAGACCTGTACAAAAGCCTGTCGGGGTCCGAGCGGACCCTAGAGGCAATCAAAGGAAAGAGGCGCTGTGGGGAGTATAAGATCCTGGTACAAGCGTGCCGGGAAGAGTACAGATCCCCACCAATAAGCAGCCAAGCGCCAGAGAACAGGGGTTCGACACGGCCGGAATCTGAAAGTGTCGAGATGCCGGTCCAGCCTCTGCCAGCTGAAGACGCACCGCCTGTCGCCGATGATCCATCACCGCACTTAGGTGGTGCCCCAGATAACACGTGTGCAGACCAAATTGTCGCGGATCTTCTAGCGAGGGCCGCGGTGAGGAGGTCGCGACACGGCCTGGGTTCCCGTAGTGCGAGGCGGCACCGCATACCGAACGTGACTCGGGCCGACACCGCACTGGCCGGTTTGTCGAGCCGCAAGAGGAGGAGAATAGAGTACGCCAGGGTACAGGAACTATTCCAGAAGTGTCGCAGTCGAGCAGCAGCCGAGGTGATCGATGGAGTGCACAGGAGCGTCCGGCACTCTCTCGAAGATTTGGAAGCCTATTGGCGACCGGTCCTAGAGAGGGTGTCTGATGCCTCAGGGCCTACACCGTCTGCTCTAAACGCCTTACGGCGGGAGGAGCAGTATGGGGGCGCACGCGATTACTCTCGGCTGTGGATGCCTTTCACGACCGACGAAGTGAAGGCGTCCAAGTTTGACTGGCAGACAGCGCCTGGTCCGGACGGTATCCGTCCGGATGAGTGGCGCCTAGTTCCTGCGGCCCGAAAAGCGGAAATTTTCAACTCTTGGTTGACCACTGGCGTAATACCAGAGCCCCTGCGGCAATGCCGGACGGTCTTCGTGCCGAAGATGGATGATCCTGCTGGGCCGGGCGACTATCGACCGATTTCGATCGCCTCGATACCGCTTAGGCACATGCACTCGATCCTGGCGAGAAGGCTTCTGGATTGCTGCCCCCCCGATGCACGACAGCGTGGATTCGTCCGCGCCGACGGCACGTTGGAGAATTCCGCCGTGCTGGACGCGGTGCTAGGGGATAGCAGGAAAAAGTTAAGAGAGTGTCATGTGGCTATTCTCGATTTCGCGAAGGCGTTCGACACAGTGTCTCATAGAGCGCTGGTCGGGCTTCTTCGGGCTCGAGGGTTGCCCGTGGCATTCTGTGATTACATCCACCGGCTGTACGACGCGGCGACCACCAAGTTGGACGTCGGCGGGCAGTCGGGTGAACCTGTTAGATTGGGCCGAGGTGTGCGTCAGGGAGACCCGTTGTCGCCCATCCTGTTCAACATGGCGATGGACGTAATTCTTGCTGCTCTACCGAAAGAGGTAGGCTATAGGCTAGAGATGGAGCGAGTCTCGGCTCTAGCCTATGCCGATGACCTAGTCCTGCTTGCAGGCTCAAAGGTAGGGATGCAGGAATCCATCGACCGTGTGTTCGAGGTTGCGTCGTCGATGGGCCTCTTGGTCAATCATACCAAGAGCTCCGTCTTGTCGATGGTGCCAGACGGGAAGCGCAAGAAGCACCACTATCTGACCGGGAAGAATTTCCGGATAGGTCGGAAGTGGCTGCCTCAAACCTCTTGCGTGGAACGTTGGCGCTATCTGGGCATCGACTTTCAGGCGTCTGGATGCGTGACGTTAGAGCATAATATCAAAGTTGCCTTGACCAACATCTCAAAGGCACCCCTCAAGCCGCAGCAGCGGCTCGAAATTGTGAGGGGACACCTTATTCCGAGATTTTTGCATGGCCTTGTGCTAGGTAATATCTCGGATGATAGGTTGTGTATGCTCGACGTCCAGATCCGGGGTGCGGTTAGGACTTGGCTGAGGCTCCCGAAGGACGTGCCTGTCGGGTACTTCCATGCCGACATCAAGGACGGCGGCCTAGCGATCCCATCGCTTCGGGCGACCGTCCCGGACCTCATACTTAAGAGGTTCGGGCGGCTCGACTCGTCGAGTTGGTCAGTGGCAAAGGCCGCCGCCAGATCCGAAAGGATCCGTAAGAAGTTGAGCTGGGCCGACAAGCAATTCCGAAAGTTCACCAGAGAGGATCCGGTCACGGGCCTTAGGTCCGTCGCACGGTTTTGGCGCGAGAGACTGTGGAGCTCAGTGGACGGGTTCGAGTTGCGCGAATCCGCCCGCACTCCCGCGTCCACGAAGTGGATTCGGGAGGAGTCTTCGCATGTCTCTGGTCGGGACTTCGTGCAGTTCGTCCACACACACATTAATGCCCTCCCGTCACGGGTTCGGACATCCAGAGGGCGCAGGATTGGTCGTGAGGCGGAGTTGAACTGCCGCGCCGGGTGCGTGGTTAGGGAGACGACGGCTCACACCATCCAGCAATGTTGGCGGACGCACGGGGGCCGGATATTGCGCCACGATCGTGTTGTGAAGCTAGTAGCAGACGCGATGGCTTCAGACCAATGGTCGGTGGTGACGGAGCCACATGTCAAGACCTCGAAAGGCCTTCGGAAGCCCGACATAGTAGCCGCTAAAGGGGGCGTCGGAGTGATCGTGGACGTGCAGGTGGTCTCGGGCCAGCGGCCTCTCGATGATGCTCACCGTGAGAAACGTAGTAAATACGGGACTCACGAGGAGCTAGTCGAGAAGGTTGCAGGTATACTAGGACTACCTAGCAAGGATTGTGTCCGCGCGACCTCTTGTACGATCTCCTGGCGAGGTGTTTGGAGTCACTCCTCCTATAAGGAGTTGAAGAGACTCCTTGGGCTGAAAGAGAGTCTGTTCCGAGCTATACCGGTGGTGGTATTGCGCGGTTCGCACATGAACTGGACAAGGTTCAGTCAGATGACCGGGATTGGGGCGGGAGACCCAGTGTGAGCGCCCGGAGTCCTGTGGGACTTCTGGGCTGCTGCCGAGCCCTGGGGTGGTCGCGGCCATGTGCCTAGTTGCAAAATACCAATTTCCCCTAACATCCAGCGGCCACCAGTGCAACAGCAATCGGCACAATGCTGATCTGCCAAGCCCCTGTGGACGGGAGATTGGGGACTAAGTGGCGTCTCTCGTGGCATCCATAATGATTAGTGATTACGTTCACTAAGACGATGGTATGATGATCGGCGGAAATAGCCAAATGCCTCGTCATCTAATTAGTGACGCGCATGAATGGATTAACGAGATTCCCACTGTCCCTATCTATCTATCTACTTCGCGTTCGATCGCCTTAGCGTACGGACGTGCCAGTGCGATCTCCGTGTTTTTAAATTCTTTAAAAGTGTCCCAAGTTAAACCTCGGCCGGAATTTCTATTTTATAGTGTTCGTGCCATATGTGGTTATAATTTGTGAGAAATTTTATTGAGTTATTTTTTGTTTTAGTGTAATTATAAAGGATTTTACGAAATAATTGTTCAGTGCATCGTGGTATTACTTGGATTATCCCTGTACTGAGCTAAGTATTTCTTAGTTTAAGTATTTCTTTTTAGTTATTTTAATTTATAAGTAATATTTCCATAGTAATATTACATCTTTTATTTAATTTAATTTCGTTTAACCTTAATATTGAGGTTAATTTGTAAGCACGTGGTGAGCACGCGGTTTGCAGTTGTCAGTTTCAATTGACATTGCTGCTGTCAGATTCAATTGACGTTTGGCGTTTGACGTCTGACGTTTGACGTCTGACGTTTGACGTTTGACGTCTGACGTTTGGCAGCTGTCAGTGTCATTGTCACTGTCACTGTATTACCAGATATAAATTATTAATTTCCCCTTTTAATTTTTTTTTTTTTTTTCTCTTTTCTGATATTTAGTTTGTACACATATTTTATTATTTATTTAATTTTTAATGGAAGAGGAGGATACGGGTGGTACTGAACGGCAGCTCATCGAGGATGAGCTAGCCAAGAAACAGGCTGAACTGGAAGAGCTGGAGCAGATGCGCCGAGAGGCCGGTTTTACACCACGTTCCTCGCTGCGTCGCACCCCCCCGCAAGGGTTCAGCACACCCCCGGTCCCAATGAGCATCCCTGCTGCAGCATCCACCTCGATGGCCAAAAGGCCGTTAACCTCACCTGAGGACGTGCAGGAGACAGTCAGGCGCCGCGTTGCGGAGAAAAAGTCTGCTATTCCGCCTGTTAGTGGCATATTAAGCAGGCCCATCTCTGACCCGTCCTCAGGTTCTGATAATCCCACGCAGTCCACTTGTACTGACAGCTCTAGTGGCATTTCAACGCTGGACAAGGTTGCGTTAATGGAGAAGGTACATGCGGCCCTAAAAGGAATCGCGACTGTCGCCAATGCGAGCAACAAGCTCAACTTGGCTGATAAAACCACTATCGGCAGCCTCAGCCAGGACATTCTAGCGTACGTGGCAACGTTAGAGATTAGGCTCGGAGAAAAGGAGCAGGAACTAACTGCCTGCAAACTTAAGTGTGCGCAACTGGAACTGTCAGTAGCCCAAACCCAAACCCTTCCTGCCCCTCCTTTCCCCTATGCGGCCTCTTCCGTTCCCTCTGCTGACAGCTATGCTGCCAGGTTGAAGCTGCCTAAGGGTAAGCCGCCACTTTGTGTCCAGTCCAAGGGCCCGGCAGTCATTGTTTATCCAAACAATGATTCCATAAAGTCGTCGGACGATACAAAGACTGAGTTGCAGAAGGCAGTTCAGCCTGGCACCCAGGGAATCAAAATACACAGTGTGCGAAAAGTAGGGAACTCCGGCATTGTGGTACAGACGGCAACTATTGAGGCTGCCCAGAAATTGAAGGCAGCGGTTCCGCCTTCCTTGAAGGTCTCTGATCCCAAAAGTAGGCGGCCACTGGTGGCAGTGCGCAATTTGCGTTCGGACCCGCCAGCCACTGAATTTATTGAGGATTTGTACAGGATCAATCTGAGCGATGATCCTGACTGGCCTAGAGATAAGTTTGGCGAATCATGCAGAGTTGCCTTCAAGAAGGGCCGGAAAGATGTACCTCGCACCACAGTAGTGATGGAGTGCACATCTGCGCTGCGGGACAAATTGGTCAGCCTCGGTAGCGTCTTCATTGGTTGGGACGAAGCTGAAGTCTGCGACTATGTACGGGTGACATGCTGCACTAAATGTCAGCAGTATGGCCATCCGGAGAAGCATTGCAGGGCGGTAGCGATGGTCTGCGGCAAATGTGGCGAGACCGGTCACCGTGCTGCAGAGTGCCAGTCGGCTACACAGTGCTGCGCCACATGCAAGCGCTTCAAGCGGAAAGATGCTGACCAACATGCCACTGCCGCTCTTAACTGTCCTGCACGTTTGCACGCGGAACAGCAGTCGGTCAATATGACCCAATATGGATAGGACGACTACCTTTCGCGTAGGTCAGCTCAACTTGCAAGGCTCGAGGACGGCTACCACTGAGCTTCCTGTCATAGCCGGAGAACTGGGGTTGGATCTAGTACTAGTTCAGGAGCAACATCAGCATCCTCAAGTACTTGGGTGCGGCACCAACCCTAAGGCCGGTCTATTACCAGTAAGTTCACGATTTGTAGTCACGCTCCTACATGACTTATGCAACGAACACTGTGTTGTAGGTCATGTCAGCTGCCAGAGCTTTAGCATATACGTCGTATCGTTATACTGCCAGTACAGTCATGACATCTCTTGTCACCTGCAACATCTCACCCACGTGATGGATCAGCTTTCTGGTCACCCAATCCTTATTGGTGTAGACAGTAACGCTCACTCTCCAATGTGGCACTGCGAGCGCAGGCAATATGTAGGTCGGGGCTCCGATACAGAATACCGCAAACTCCAGATGGAGGGATTCATCCTCGGACGGAATTTGCTGGTACATAATGTGGAGGGTCAACCGCCAACATTTTATAGCCCAAATGGCTCGTCCAATGTGGATATCACCATCTCCACACGTAGTGTGAGGGTTGCTGACTGGAAGGTGCATGAGGGTGTTAGTGTAAGTGACCACCAGTTGATAACGTTTGGCGTTATCCTTGGTGACTCACACGGGTACAATGGCACAGAATTTTCAGATAACGTATGTTACTTTCGTGAACGTGGTGTGAACTGGGGAGGATTTTGTTCGACTCTGCACGCCCGCATGTCCCAGCTGAGGCTAACGCGGCCAGCTAGTGATATCTGCGAGCAGTACTCTGCAATACTTCTACGTACTGCGAGAGAACGATTAGGTACACTTGCGAAAAAGGAGAAAGAAGGGTACGAGTGGTGGTCTCCGGCTCTTGACCGAATGCGTAACGAGGTCTATTGTGCACGTCGTAAGTGGCAGGCCTCACGTCGCATAGGAGGCGACAGGGAGAAGGCTCTTCATGATTATCTCCGACGAACCAGGATACGCTACAAGCTAGCTATGAAGGAAGCTGAACTTGCCTTCTTCCGCTCTGTCGCGGAATCAGGTAACGCCGATCCGTGGGGCCTGGCTTACCGAACAGCCAGTGGACGATTTCGTCCACCTCTCAACGTGCTAAATGGAGTGAGATTAGCTGACGGCTATACTAGGACGACCGGAGACACCATGCTTGGCCTCGTCAATGCCTTATGCCCAGACGATAATCTAGCCAGGGACACTGTATACCATCGACAAGTGCGGATCGCTGCTGCATGTGCTCCATCTGGAACTGATGCTACTCCACCGACCAAAGAACAAGTTGGACTCATCATTCGAGAACTGCCGAACACTGCACCCGGCATTGACGGAATCACGGCTAAGATTGTTAGACAGGCATGGCGGGTAACTGGTGACGAGATCTGGCACATGTTTAGGGCGTGCATAGTCGAGGGCGTTTTTCCGGATCTGTGGAAGATGGGCAAACTCGTTGTTCTGCCAAAGGGTGGCGACAGGCCGCTCACAGACCCTAAAGCCTACCGCCCGATAACTTTGCTGCCCATATTGGGAAAAATTCTGGAGCGTGTGATCATCTCCTGCGCTCCATGTCTTTACCGCGGAATCTCCGATGCACAACATGGCTTCACGCGTGGCCGATCCACAGTGACCGCCCTTAATACTATCAACCGAATTACCAACGGATCAACCGAAAATTACGTGCAACTGATCCTTTTGGACATATCTGGAGCCTTTGACAATGCCTGGTGGCCAATGGTCCTACTCAAGGCAAAGCAATGTGGCGTTCCACCTAATATTTACCGTATTTTAACGAGTTACTTCATAAATCGCCGTGTAGGACTGTTTGCTGGAAACCGGGTAGTGTGGAAGGTATCCACGATGGGCTGTCCTCAGGGATCGGTGCTCGGACCAACCCTATGGAACCTCCTACTCGATGACCTCCTGAAGCTGCCAAAACCCGAAGGAGTACACTTCGTTGCTTACGCCGACGATGTGACGATCGTGGTCGAAGCATCGTCTCGTTCCGCAATAGAGCGCAAAGCGGCAACTACGATCGCTGCCGTGTCCGAGTGGGGTATTCGTAACAGACTAGGGTTTTCTACCGGGAAGTCACAAACGATGACCTATAAGGGCAAGTTTAAACGTGGACCAATTATAAAGATGGACGGTGCAACGATCACGAGTGTTTCACAGGCAAGAGCCCTAGGAATAATTTTGGACGAGGCTAGGTCCTATGTGCAGCATGCATTATATATCGGCGAG